TGCCAGTCACCATGTTTGTCCTTGTCTGTGTAAGGTAAGCATTCAACAAAAATGGCACCTATATTGTTAAAACATGGTTTGACTTAGTTACTCTCTGCCTCCCTCAAATCTGTGAAACCGCTGATGGTTAACTATAGACCCATGCAGAAAATGACGTGTCTGACTAAACATGCAGCATTCCTAGAAAACAGGAATTTTGCTGTCTTTGGCATGGAGCAGGCCTGGCAACCAAGGACCATGAGGAGTGCTGCGTCCCACTGGCCCATCGTTGCTTTACTGACTCAGCCAGAGAGCTGCTCTGTCAAGCAGGACAATGTTCAAGGGTTATGAACCTTGGGTTTGAATTGTAGCCATTTGCAAGGAAACAGGGAAAGGAGTTTGGAGGCAGAGCTATTATGAAATTTAAAAAGGAAAATAGTAACAGTGGAAAAAAAGACTTTGGAAAGCTTTTTCCAAACTAGGACTGTTCTGGCTGGAAGTTCAGTTGTTGAAGAACCCCAGCTGTAAAACCTAGATCTGGTCTGGGCAGTCATATCTCACTTGTAGATGTTTGAAGACTGAACTGAACCTTTCCTCTAATCTCTAACTCTGCTGCTTTTCTTGAGGAAAGAGCAAGCATTGCAGCCTCTTTTATTAGCATAAATTGTCCCTGTATTGCTGAATATCTCTAAAATAAAATTAAAGGAGAACTTGGGAGAGGAGTTAGATGTTAATTTGAAACTGTTTGACTCACTCCTTCCTTCCTTCCTCATGTTGTTCCATGGCTCAAAACTGCCTTTCAGTGTCTCATAATCTCCCTTGTTTTCCCACTCTCTCTAATTCAGACTTTCTTATAATTGGGAAGATAGCACCTCCCTCATTCAAGATCAGGCAGTGTCCCATCGCAACTACAGCAGTTGTTGACTTGGAAAAATAACAGTGGGGAAATCTAGTATAATGTTTCTACTAAAGCCAAGCAGTCAGGAAGGAGAAGAGCCAGCAGCAGGGCCCTCTGCTGTAGGATGCTTGTGTCTCTAGCAGCTGCTCTGTGGCAGTGCGGCAGAGAAAGGTAAGTGAGCACAGGTTTCATTTCTTCAGTTTGAAGAAATAGAAACTGGTTCCCCTTAGCAGTGGTATCAGTAGTTTTTGATGAGCTGCTCATCCCTTTGTGCCAGAAACCAATGAGCAAGACCAACTCGGCAAAGTGTCATGGAAGGGGCTTTACTGGAGTGTCAGGGCTCGACTGAATGAGCCTGTGTCACAAACAGCCTTATATGTGGCAGCACTGGCCTCTGCCATGGTTGCCACCTTCCTGGAGGTAAACTCCCTCCCTCCCAGAGAGAGTTTGGGAGTGATGCCCAGCCTGTGTGTGTTCTTGATTTGAGCTGGGACTGAGGGGTTGCCTGTGGTCACCAAACCCCGTTGGTGTGTTAGTGTTTTTAGGACAATACAGTCATTAAGTGAAGCCTGTTGGGAGAGATTTATTCTTTGTTAGAAGTGAAATTCTCTTCTCTTTTGTAAGCTCTCGATGATTCTTCATGTAATTGGTTTTGATTGTATGACAGCAGGCTGATTTCTGTAAGCAAAACCAAGAGGAACTTTGCTTTAACAGGTTGACTGTTTCTGTTGTCTGGTGTGTTTCAGAGCTTTAGACTCTAAGAGTGACTGGATGCTTTAGGACCTGGTTGACAAGCAGCTGTGTGATGAGAGAGGCTAAGGTTCTCTCTCTAGCTGCTTTTATCTGCTACTTTATCTTTCATGTTAAATTTCCCTTAAAGTTATAAGCTTTACACTCAGTTCTCCTTAAATACAATCTGGTTATTCTTCACAAACCCCTCTTTCCTTACTTGAGATTGATGCAAAATCAATCATGCATGGGGAAGTTTGTCCATGTGTCCATCTGGCATGGTGGGAGTCCTTAGTCTGACAGAAGGCATGTCTGGTGCTGGAGCTGAAGGACCCAGGTGTAGGACAGAGATCCTCATCAGCAGGAGGCTGCTGTCTTTGAACCTCAGATCTGATGGATTTCCTGAAGCAAGTACTGGAGAGTGGATAGGCATCTGTCCTTTGTTTTCTGACTTGTTTTGTGTCGTGGCTTGTAAACAATCCCACATTTATGTGAATTTGAGATTTTGCATGTTAAGGTACAGTGTACTGGACACAGTCCTGGGCAGCTTGTTCTAGTTGACTCAGCTTGAGCAGAGGCTTTGGCTAGATGATACCAAGAGGTCTCTTCCCATCTAAACAGTTCTGTGATTTGTATGCTGCGAATGAAGCCATGATCTAGTGTGATCCTTGACATGGAGATCAAGTTTTCTGTTATCGCAGTGCCACAATTCTTAGTTTGTGAGGCAAACAAGGCTGTGCTGCCTTGGACTAAAGTAAATCTGCGGCTAATGTAGGAGAGGGACTGTGTAAGGGAGGTGGGAAGCCTGAACACAATACTGCTGTGTTTAGTGGAATGCTTTTGAAGAGAGGACAGTGTTACTGTTAAAGCCTGGGAAGAGTTAAGGGAGAGAGCATTTATCTCCAACTAGGCAGAGCAGTAGTCTTTGATTCTCTATATCTTTATAATTTCTGGAAATTTTTGTTATCCATGCAGCCAGACAGCCCTTTTTTTTGATCTTCCATTAATCTTTGCATGAGCGATATATTATGGCAAGGTGTTTTATGTGTAAGTTGCTTATAGAAATCAGAGTTGATTTTAGAAGAGTGGGTGCTTACTTGTCCATGGCTATTATCAAGAGGATGATTAGCAGGACTGTGGGAGCCCCTTTTTTCTATGAAGCCTTTTGTATTGTCCCACCTCTTTAATTTCTGTGGGATATACTATGGGACCAGTATCCTGTTTGAAAGAGGTTTCTCTTCTCTCACAGGTGCTCTGAACAAAGCCTCTAGAGAAGTGTTTAGGACAACTCGCAGGGGATTAGTCTTGCACTGCCTGTGGGACTGGGGAGGACTTAGCAGAGGAGAGTTATCCATATGAGACAAGGGGCTAGCAAAATTACACTTGTACAGGGAAGAGAGAATGTTTTGGAAGCCCAGGACCACTAGACACAGACTTCCATAATGCCAATCATTGATTCAAATCCAACTCCTGTCTTAAGCATCGCATGCCAGTGACCGTGCAGTAGCTTTTTGACCTGCATGTGCTAGATGTTGTAGCCTCTTTTTTGGAAGCAGCACCATGTCATGTATTGACGTTTACGTAGTACGAAAGCTGGAGCTGATAGGTTTCCCACGTGGAGCCATTAAACCTCTCTGAAAACCCTGCCATGTCCAAATGAAGGGTTTTTATGTGGGAACAACCCACAAACTGAGGTCAGTACCTCTCAAGTTAGAATTGGAGCCTTAGTTTTTGTATGGAAGACAGGACTGCTGTCTGTCTGTACAGCAGCCAGCACAATGGCACCTCAGTGTCAGCTGTCCCCTCTGTGAACTACCATGGTACAAGCAAGGTATTATACCTGTTCTGGGGACAACTACATGTCTGTTAATTTAGCAGCGCTCCTCAGTGCCAGCTGCCTTTATTAAATGACGCGTGTGTGTGAATGTGTACAAGAAAATTGTGGTTGCAGTGGGAAAAACAACCCACTGCATTTACTTCAAGAGTTTCAGCAATGGGGATAAATCTGTGCCATTTTCCTCATTCATAATTTGACAGTTGGGAAAGTGGTTTAAAGACAATCAAGGAAGGAAAGTATTTTCTCATTTCTTAAAGGGTAATGTAAATATAGAAGGGCAAAAGGTAGTTTTAAAAAAGAAAATAGCCAGCAACAGACTCTTGGGAGGACGAAACCCCCAGACACAATCCTGGTGGGTGGTCACAAAATAAGTGAGTTTAATAGCTGTCAAATTCAGAATCAGTCAATTTTTCCACTCTTCCTGTTTCTCTGCCTCAGCTGTATGTGTCTTTCATAGGCACCCAGTTAAGTGTAGGTGCTCTTTTGGGTCTCTGGGAGGCTGAAACACACCAAGGACATCTCCCTAGGAACAGTGGTGGAGGTGGAATATAAATATAAATATAGTGGTTGCATGCTGTCTCATCTATAAAACCTAAGCACAGCACATCAGATGCTTAAAATGGAAACACAGCATGTAACCTTTTGAAACGTATTGCCACTGGATACTGTTGTGGGCACCTAACTTGTGAGGCTCAACTAAGAATGATGGGAATGTTTGTTGTTATTCTAGATAAAAAGGTGTAAGGAATAGTGAAGCTCATCTTGCAGTGATTGTGTTATTCCAGAACTGTCTCTTATAAAGGTTTCTTTTGAAGTATTGCATTTTCCTTTGACTCATTTGGTTTTGGCCATTGCCAGAGATAAGCTAAGCTGCATAGCTCAGAAGTTTGTTGTAATAACTTCCAGGTATACTCAATGCAGCAGAACAAAAATCACTTTAGGAGCAAGGTAGGTAGGATTTCTTCTATGTAGGAAACTTGGCAGCAGTGGGATCTATCTGACCTGCAAAAGCTTGACCTACAGGAAAGCACGATGAGTCTGTTCTTTGGTTTGTGTGTGTGCCTTCAAGGGGGAAGTGTGCATACATGCATACAACTGCTAAAGTTAACATGCCACTTCCATTTGTGGGTGCCCTGCAAGATGCTAGTGCTGTTGACAGGATGTCTCTCTTTCGGCGCTGGGTTTTGGAGATTCAGTTGTCCGCGTGATGTGGATGTGGTAGGCCAAGATGGTTATAACCTGTGTGCCTGGGGAGCTTAGAGCAAGGTATGTTCGTTGTGCTTGGGAAAGAGGTGGGGGG